GAACAGCGCCAAGTTCATCCCTAGGAGACGATCGACTCCACCATGAACCCCCAATCTCCACGCTGTCGACCCCCATCCCCCTCCTCCAACTCCCATCCACTCACCTAAAGCCTGGATGGACCGAACCTCCCCGCACGGAAGGTCGTCGGACTCGAAGATCGCAAACCAGCCGTTCGGGTAGGCGGGAGGCATATCCCCAGCCTCCAACTGCCTCCTGATATCGTTCACCATCTCCGCCTTCTTCTTTCCTTGGTATCCTCGATAAACGTCTTCTAGATGTTGGAACCCGACATCCTCCAGGTGCTGGAACGAGTGGGGCATGCGATGGAACGGACGAACGCCATGGATGAGTTTCCACAAAATCAAACATATTTTGAAAGAGAGAACGAGGCGGATGGTCAATCAACCGCCTTGCAATGATTGACAGATAATCTTTGTCGTTGATGCCCAACAAAACGATTTTCAAAACACTTTGTGTTTCGTTTCTGGTTTTTCCTCCATGACTTTTGGATTGCCGAGATTCACGCCAGACAAGACAGAACTTTACTTTTTTTTACGAGAGAGAAATTCTCGGTTTGGAAGATTCAGTTTCCTCCCAATTTCCCAAATTTCCCTCCTCCCCTTAACTTTTTATTCGTTCTCATCACCGCACAATGCGACAATCTCTGCGATCGCTGCGAAACACCGGTATGACCGCGGCAGGACGCTCGCACGGGGAACGTACAAACGCCTACGTTCCACGAATCGCCGCTTCCAAAGCAATTCACTTCCTTTTCAGGAAGAGAATCCGTATACTCAGAGCGAGGGATGCACAACCCGCATCGCGCTTCTCCGCTCAGGAGCCTCAACAGGTCGTCATGTGCGCGAGATGATTCCGAAGAGGATGGTCGGCTGCGAAAAACGCTAGATCTAACGTTTTATCTTGATCTTCTAACTCTTTTCCGGACAATGAATTTTTGTGACACGTGTGGTGAAGGGCAAACGTGTTAACAGTTTTTTTTTCTTTAAGGTAAATCGAAGCTTCACAAAATTCAGTTTGAATCTATTGGTTAATGTCTATGAAAGACCCATTATTTTAGTGTAAAAATGTTTGAAAAAATTGCAAGAGTAATGACTTGAAATATTCAGTGTGGAGTCCGATGGACTCCCCTTGCCCGGATGAGGGTTAAAAGTGTAAATATCATTACCTTGACTCGGTTGAGCGGGACGAAAAGGATCCGGTAGAGCAGCGACGTAATGGCGACGATGAGTACGGCCAAGACCCACTCCCACGCGTGCCAGGCGGACAGGACGTCGAGGACCAGCCACCACTCCAGAGCGGGGGTGGAGCCGATCGCCACCGTCTGCTCCATGCTCCGACGAGTCTCGTTGCAGGTTTGCATCTGGGAGGAGAGAGGGGAAGTAATACTGTTGTTCGAGTTCCGTGAATTCGGTATACCCGTTTCTGCTCCAAGTAGCACACGTGCGGTCACTCTAATTCGGAACCAAACACGGCTAAACATTTTCTGACACCGTGAGACGACTCATCATGATGAAATCGGGAGCGATACCAGCGTTAGGACGCGGAAATCGGCGACGATCGACAGTGCCGTTCCGTCGAGAGTTCACCATACCGTGCCGACCCGGACGGACGAGTGATCTTCCCAAGCGAAATAAAAAAAAATTCAGTGTCACTCCAGGTACAGATATGCCATTGCAATGGCCCCGATACCATTGGAATGATCTACTTCGCCGCATCCTTACCAACCAACTTCGAAATGAATAGGAACTGTTATTGGTAAGGCATACGCCAATATAAAAAGTCTCATACGACAGGAAAAATTCTCAATAGTCCGTGCGTCCACGTCGCGTGGAGATGAAGGGACATTATGAAGCGTAGGATACCAGACACGGCATTTCACGCGTACGCCTAATAACCCTGTACACGCGGCCGGGAGCAACCGCTCGCTTCTACTGTCTACTGTGGAACCGTCATCCGCAAGGGCTGGAAGGGAAGTGGATGTTTTCGCGCAAGACGGACACCCCGACCCTTGCGGAAAGCTGCGCGTGCGCGTTGCACCACTTAAATTCCGCGCTTTCCGTCTCATCCAGGCAGCCCCTTTGAGTGCAGGGAAGAATAAGACGAGTGCATCGTGACTAGACTTGTCCGATGACGATGGATATCGGCCCGGAATATTTAATATAAAAGCAAGAAAGAA